TTTCTCTCCATAACGCTCTACCTTGCGTGCTGTCATACCATCAATTTGCTGCAGATCGGAGTACGTACGTGGCATGAGTGCAGCAATTTGTTCGAGACCTTCTGAGCTTAAGATTGGCTGAAACTTGCGCACATTTTGTATTCACACACAGAAAAGTTTTAAAAAAAGAAAGAATTTTGAATGAGCGAGCTGAAATTTTCAAAATTTTTGTCTTCGTTGAATGCAAGCTTTGAAATACATTGACATACCAGATGACTGCTCATTCCTTCGGCCGAAGCAATTTCGGAAAACAGTCGCAGCAGATCTTTCCGGCATTTGTTGAATAGGTCCGCGTGTTTTACCATGTATCTTCAAATAAATGCTAATATTGTGTTATTGCGCCATCGAAGGAAGATAGTGAGAAAGAAAGGCTGCCGAAATTAATATAAGCCTAATGTAACACATACTTCTGTTGAGGCGAGATATATTTTAAGCGCAGCTTTCGGGGGAAAACAAAAATTCTGAGATAGAAATTAGTAAACTGAACGTACTTCTCTTTCAAAGCCTGAACTTCGCTCACTCGATTTATTGGCATTAGCGCTACAATTTCAGATACACCAGATCGACGCCGATCGTTTGGTTGATTTGATACATGCAAATATACCTGCAAAATGAACGGTATCTTACTAAGCGTAAACGAAAAATTGCCTGCAGGCTTATTTTAATGATCAAATCGAGGACTACTGGGCCACTGTTTAGTTATCTCCGAGTAACTCTGCATTTAAAATAGGATTTCCTACGATGGTCGCGTTAAAATACCCACTAATAACGCTTATTTTGTTTGTCCTAATCTGCCGAATTCAGTGATACCTTCATTCGAGTTCGCCCACTGGCCAACTCTCGGCCAAGCTGTGTTAATTCCGCATACGCCACTGTTGTGTCGAATTTCGTATTGTAAAGGCGCTCCACGATAACTCCATCAATCACAAGTTTCCTGATGAACCTCAGCGCATCCGTCTCGTGCATTCCAACACCACGTCCAAACATTTCAAGCTGCGTATGGCCCAATCGTGTGGCCTAGAAAATATCAAAATCAGAATAAAGATTCTTGTTTAAAACTGTTTTACAAAATTCGACTTAAACTCCCAAGTGTAGCGTCCAGGAATGTAATTCGAGGTTTTAAAACCATAAAGCCGCTTGTAAATTGCTTGCATTGTTAATAAAGTAATTAAAACTTATAATACACGTAAAAACGACTTGGCAGCGCATAAACGAATATGCGAAAAGAAAAACACTGCCCAAACTATAATTCTC